GGTTTGCATCGACTTAGCCACAGAGCCGATGTCTTAAATTCTTATGACTTTTGGTCTGCTCTTGCATAATTTTTGCAGCTTTTATAAAAACTGTATTGCATAGCTCAGGTGTGATGGAATGTTTTTCCTTGCCAAGCAGTCCCAGAGCTTGCTCCAGGGAACCTTATCAAATGCCTTTTCTAGATCCAAAAACCATAGGTGCATCTCAAGAGCTTTTTCACTCATCTGTCTGTGAAGATAAGGTATTGAGTATTTTCAGTTTGCTTTGAAGCCACATTGGGCCTGATCCTGCTGGGGCTCTGCCAGACTTCTGAGTCTCTGCTCCAGAATTTTAGAGTAACTTTTACCGGGGACGTCGCGGAGAGAAATGCCTCTGGTTTTCGCATTGTCTGTTATCTCCCTTTTTAAATATAAGTATAATAATGGCAGTCTCTCAATTTTTTTCTTTAGTTTTAGCAGACCAGGCAACCTGGAAAACCTTCATGAGAAGTCACTCACCTGCCACTCCCATATATTTGACCATCTCTGATGTTATGCTATCATGTCCTTCTACTTTCGTCCCTTCTCGGTTGCTTGGTTTCTTGCATGGTTGTCTGTGTGCCTTGTTGGAGCAGTTCTTTCATTTGAGGCTGAGAAATGTGCTTAAAAAGCTAACATTTCACGTTAATGTTAATGGCTTCTGTATAAGAAAGAGACCCCCATGAGCTAGTCAGTTGATCAGTGTAATGCTTTAGTTTGTTGGGCCTCAACTAGCAGCTTGGGCTTATAACAAAAACATGCCAAAGAAAATATATTGCTATTTTTGGAGTCATGTTTTAGGAATAAGTAGCGTTTGAGCCTTGCCACTGTTAGCTGTGTAATGGGGAACTCAAGGGTGGTAAACACATTTGCACTGTATAGTTTCCAATTTAACTGCCAATTAGAGGATTGTCTCCCCTTGAGGTGAAGTGGCTGTGCAGTTTTATAAGAGTGTGTATGTGTGGGGTAGGACCTGGTGGTAGGGGGAAAGTGCACTTGTGTGGGATAAGGGTGGGGGTAGGGGAAAGAGTTACATTATGAGTGGGGTAGGGGAAAAAGTTGCATTGTGTGTGGGGTGAGAGGGGAAAAAGTTGCACTATATGGGGTAGTGGTAGGGAAGAGAGTTGCTCTGTAAGAGTGATGCGGAGGGATGGTTGTTTGTGGTGGTAGGGTGTAGAGTTGCGTTGTAAGATTGTGTTAGTGGGGTGGGAGGATATGGTTCCTGTGTGTGTGGCGTAGATGGTGGGTGGTAAGATTGTGTGAGTGGGGTGGGGGTAGAGGGTGCCTGTGTGGCGTAGATGGTGGGTGGTAAGATTGTGTGAGTGGGGTGAGGGAGAGGGTGCCTGTGTGTGTGGCGTAGATGGTGGGTGGTAAGATTGTGTGAGTGGGGTGGAGGATATGGTTCCTGTGTGTGTGGCGTAGATGGTGGGTGGTAAGATTGTGTTAGTGGGGTGGGAGGATATGGTTCCTGTGTGTGTGGCGTAGATGGTGGGTGGTAAGATTGTGTGAGTGGGGTGAGGGAGAGGGTGCCTGTGTGTGTGGCGTAGATGGTGGGTGGTAAGATTGTGTGAGTGGGGTGGGGGAGAGGGTGCCTGTGTGTGGGGCGTAGATGGTGGTTGGTAAGATTGTGTGCGTGGGGTGGGGGAGAGGGTGCCTGTGTGTGTGGCATAGATGGTGGGTGGTAAGATTGTGTGAATGGGGTGGGAGTAGAGGGTGCCTATGTGTGTGTGGTGTAGATGGTGGATGGTAAGGAGCAGAGTTGCACTGTGAGCGTGTGTAAGTGGCATGGAAAGAAGGGTGTGTGTGATTGTGTTAGGGAATGATAGTTGCACTGTAAGAAAAGTATGTAAGTGGGACAGAAGGGACAGTGATGATTTTGAAAGTATGGATGGAGAATGTGTACACATTAGCATTTTAAATATACCTGTAAAGTTGGTGTAGGATATCTGTTGTGTAGCTTGGAGTTTGCTCAGGGGCCAAAATTTTGAAATTGTGGATTGTCATGGGCCAAAGGCCCGAGCCTGGTCATAAAATGAGCACTAATACAATACAGTGGGCAATGATCCGGGAGAGGGGGAGGGAGATTGTGAGTCTGTTTAACAATTTAATGACCCATGAGCACTAAGTTGTGGTGTTTACCATGGTTGGTTTATTTTGAAAAAAAAACACCCACCTAAATATGTTTTGAAGATAGTAGTACGAGAGTTGCACTGTAAAAGACAGTGAGACCTCACAATGTAATATTTCCAAAGACAGGAGTGGGTACACTGTAAGTAAAAAGTGGCTTACTGTTATTGTGTAGATGGCACATATTTTATTTTAATTGGTAGAGGGGTAAGTATATATGTATGTGTGTGCATGGCATAAAAGGGTCAGCTGTGTAAGTGACTGAGAATGCTGTAAAACTATTTAAATGGTATGGTGCCTTCTTACAGAACCACTCACGTGATGATGATGACATTTTTACACACACACATGTACGGAATAATATACACAAATGCAAATGAGAAAGAGACAGATATATTTTCTCTTGAATAACATACACTCTTAGGAATTTCTGCTTGTATATTTGTGAGCTGCAATGGACAGGCATTCACTCTGTCACTTTTTCTCTCTCTCTCACACACACACACACAGTTGGACGGAAATAGAATACTGTTGACTGTTTTATGAATCCATAGACACTCAAGGTTCTCTGCTCACATGTGGTCTGTTTGTGCATGCTCAGTTTGTACAGCTGTTGTATTCTTGAGCTCCTGGCTGAGCATTTATTCTTTGTGGCTTTCTCAGTCAGATAGCGTGGCAGGCTCTGCTATATTCCAGTAGGTTTTGGTTTTGCTATAGCCACCACCACAAGTGCACACATTCCTTTGAAGTCGGAGTGCATCTGCCGGAGAGGCGAGGAACCAACAGTCTGTATTCAAGAGAATGAGATCTGTAAAACTGATGCACACGCACCACTCAGGTTCTCTAGCAGGACTGCAGTTCAGTAGTGGACGAGCAACCAGAACCTGCCGCCAGAGTTTACAGCTGGTGAACGCGAAGAAGAAGAAGAAGACAAGTGCACACACACAGTCTTTCTCTGTCTCAATCTGTGTGTGTGTGTGTCTTTATCTCTCTTTCTCTCATAATCTAAGTCTCTGTCATTCTCTGTATATATATATATGTGTGTGTGTGCGCGTATATGTATGTGTGTGCATGTAAGTATATATGTTTTAGTGTGTGTGTTTGTGTGCGTGTTTGATATGATTGTTTGTTTATATGTATGCATTTACTATCCCTGTTTTTCTGTATTTTACCTTGATGCTCATTGAATATTTATTGTTATATGAACATTATAGTCTTTAAAAATAAAGTACAATTACAGAATGAAAGATGAGTGCTTGGAAGGACTGAATGTAAGATGGGCCACAGTTTGTGACCCTTTGAAAATAAAGTTTGTTCATTCGTTCATTCTGTTTCTTTCTCACTTCCTCTCTTTCTTTTACCAACATCCATTTCTCTGTCCAATTTTTTTCTTTTCTGATAATCACACCATCACATGAAATCTTGTGATGTTTCCAACCTCCAGGTTTTTGATACAGGGTCAGAGGTCGTGTGTAATTTTATAGGAAGATAATTTCTTGTGAAGCAGCAACTGAATAACTGAAAATAGGGACTCTTGTCATCCTCCTCCACCAGAGTGACTCCGTTTTATGCCACAGACTAGCATAGACAGTGTCGCAGAGACTGCAACTAGACATTCCATCAGAGTGATTCCATGTATGCCACAGAAAAGCACGGACAGAGTCGCAGAGATTGCACCTAGACATTCTATCAGAGTGATCTATGTATGCACGGACAGTGGCGCGAAGACTGCACCTAGACATTCCATCAGAGTGACTCCATGTATGACACAGACTAGCATGGACAGTGGCGCTGAGACTACACTTAGACATTCCATCAGAGTGATCTATGTATGAACAGTCTAGCACGGACAGTGGCACTGAGACTACACCTAGACATTCCATCAGATTGACTCCATGTATGCCACAGATTAGCACGGACAGTGTCACTGAGACTGAACCTAGACATTCCATCAGATTGACTCCATTTATGCCACAGACTAGCACGGACAGTGTCACTGAGACTGAACCTAGACATTCCATCAGAGTGATTTAATGTATGTTTCAGACTAGCACAGACAGTGTCGCTGAGACTGAACCTAGACATTCCATCAGAGTGATTTAATGTATGTTTCAGACTAGCACAGACAGTGTCGCTGAGACTGCACCTAGACATTTTACTGTCTTGGCAACCACTGTGGTATAGTGGCTAGACGCTCACTTACGGATATCAAGGTCACGGGTTCAGGTCTGAAAGTAGTCAGGCTGAAAAAAAAAATCACTTTTGTCTCTAGAGTGCAGATTGATTTATAAAATATAGGCCTTGCACTATATACCTGAAGGAGTAGAAAAAGGGTCCTATACTCTATGCGTTACCTTTCTGTCTTTCCAGCCGATAGTGTTTCATAGTACTACAGGGAGACATAAGAATCACAACTTATGGTGATATCTCACCAATCAAAGCCAGGGATGAAGTTCCTCCTTTTGATAGCACACATTCTGAGCTACATTTTAGAGACTATGATCCCCATCTCAACCTGCTTTGTTAACTCCAGGGGAAAGGTGGCACCAATACCTTTGCAAGAAAAACATGTTGTAGAAACTTGCACCTGTCAGAACAGCCGTCCTGCAATAAATTAAGTTTTCAGGTTAGTATACTCCCCAGTGTGCTGCTTCTTTGCAGAGTCTGGATTCATTTCAGCTCATGACACAGTACTAGATAATGTTCAGAATTTTCTCTTATTGAAAGTTGATGGTGAATGGTTTGGCCACTTATCCTTTCTGATGTATGTGAAAGGTTACAAAAAAAAAAAACAATCATATTATAGTATCTTAAAATGCTAACATATTTATTTTTTTACCAATTGTCTTTTTCAGATTCTTTTGTTAACAGTCAGGAATGGACCCTGAGCCGCTCAGTTCCAGATTTGAAACTGGTAAACAGTTGTTAATTGTTGTCTTAAAATAACTATAAATTAATTTTGTTGGCCACGTGTACACAAAATTTAAGATTGGCGTGTCAGCAAATAAAAGAAGAAGAAATAATAGTTAAAGACTCTAAAAGGGAAAAGAAACATTAAAATACGTGTGATGGCAACAGTGGTTCTAAAATATCATTCACTTGGTGTTGAAGATTCTTGTGAACGTGAGCTAGTCCACCTGGTCATAACTGCGGGCTGTGGGTCCCCTGCCTTCCTGTAGCATAGTGAAGTTCTCTTGTCTAGAAAAGTGCCAACTAATAGAAGAAGAGAATATTGGCTTATTGATAAGATTGAACAAGCATTTATATTATACTCCAGTTGTAGTGTTGTTTAGAAAGGTGCCATATAACAGGAGAAGAGAATATTGGCTTATTGATAAGATTGAACAAGCATTTATATTATACTCCAGTAGTACTGTTGTTTAGAAAGGTGCCATCTAACAGAAGAGAATATTGGCTTATTGATAAGATTGAACAAGCATTTATATTATACTCCAGTTGTACTGTTGTTTAGAAAGGTGCCATATAACAGGAGAAGAGAATATTGGCTTATTGATAAGATTGAACAAGCATTTATATTATACTCCAGTTGTACTGTTGTTTAGAAAGGTGCCATATAACAGGAGAAGAGAATATTGGCTTATTGATAAGATTGAACAAGCATTTATATTATACTCCAGTAGTACTGTTGTTTAGGAAGGTGCCATCTAACAGAAGAGAATATTGGCTTATTGATAAGATTGAACAAGCATTTATATTATACTCCAGCAGTACTGTTGTTTAGAAAGGTGCCATCTAACAGAAGAGAATATTGGCTTATTGATAAGATTGAACAAGCATTTATATTATACTCCAGTAGTACTGTGATTCCCCACTCAGATCTCACTAGGAGCATTTCTACTGTGTGCCTGAAGTTTGTAGCAATGATGAAGATTCACGTGTATGTGTACTAGAATACAGAAAGTATTGTCTAGCAGGAATGAAGAAGAAATCCATTTCTGATTAAATTGGTAATGTCCTACCATTCTCATTCCCACCTTGAGATGCTAGGGTAGGGGTCGTGGGTCTAAGAACTCCCAAAGTTTCACAGTGATAAACATAGGCCTCAAATGCAGCTTCCTATTGTTGATTGGAGGGGGGGGGGGGTGGAGATAGGCCTCCTGCTTCCTGAACAAGCGTATCATACAAAGTAACTAAATATGGGAGTTACCTTTGAAACTGGAGTACATCTGCCTGAGAGGCGAGGAGCCAACAGTTTGTATACAGATCAGCCAGATCCGTAAAATGGATGAAGACTAAAGTCCAGACGTGGATGAACAGCCAGAGTTTGCATCCGGCGGACGCTGAGAAGAAGAAGAAGAATACAGCTGATCATTCCCATGATTCCAGGAAATAACTCAGTGTTACTTTTAAAGGATGGTTAACATACAAAAAAAATACAACAACCCACATAGACTAAATTAAAACTAAAGCCGAGAAAGGCCTCTGAAATATATCATGGCCGCTGCAAGCTTTTGAGCAATGGCTCCTTGTAATATTTATCAGGGGGCAGTTCCCTCCACCGTTGAATATGTAAAGGTAAAAGTCATAAATTTATGGCTGCTGCAAGCTTTTGAGCAATGGCTCCTTGTAATATTTATCAGGGGGCAGTTCCCTTCACCATTGAATATGTAAAGGTAAAAGTCATAAATTTATGGCTGCTGCAAGCTTTTGAGCAATGGCTCCTTGTAATATTTATCAGGGGGCAGTTCCCTCCACCGTTGAATATGTAAAGGTAAAAGTCATAAATTTATGGCTGCTGCAAGCTTTTGAGCAATGGCTCCTTGTAATGTTTAGCAGGGGGCAGTTCCCTTCACCATTGCATAAATTTATGGCTGCTGCAAGCTTTTGAGCAATGGCTCCTTGTAATATTTATCAGGGGGCAGTTCCCTCCACCGTTGAATATGTAAAGGAAAAGTCATAAATTTATGGCTGCTGCAAGCTTTTGAGCAATGGCTCCTTGTAATATTTATCAGGGGGCAGTTCCCTCCACCGTTGAATATGTAAAGGTAAAAGTCATAAATTTATGGCTGCTGCAAGCTTTTGAGCAATGGCTCCTTGTAATATTTATCAGAGGGCAGCTCCCTCCACCGTTGAATATGTAAAGGTAAAAGTCGGAAGATGTGCTCTGCCACCAGTACGGACAGCTGATAAGAAACCATCCGCCTGTGTCGCTGTCCACACAAAACTCTGTAGCTGCAGCGATGTTCCTTCATTTACCCCACCGTATTAACTCTGGTACCCATTTTCTAGAGGCTGGGTCAACCCAGGGAACCGTCCGATTTCGAACACCGGCCGTGGGCTGCAACGAGTCGCCACTGGATTTGAAAGCGAGTCTCCTATCTACTGCGCAAATACTTTATTAAAACATTCTGGAAGACAGTAACAGTGTGTAAAAGTATTTTGTTTCTAAGGGGCTGAATGGTCTCACCTCATGTGCTGGAATTCCTGGTTTGAAGCCCAGGACTTCCGGGTTGAAGCCCTGATGAAGGCTGGGATATTTTCATGTGGACCTCTAGTTTAAAATATACCTGAAGTGATTTGGGATCCTCGTCGGTGCTACGGAGCTCGTGCACTGCGCTGAGAGTCTTCCCACTAAGGCTTGAGTTAGGAGTAGAATAGAGCACTTTTGGGTTAATACCCTTGTGCCATGATCTTGATCCTTGTTCAAACCAAAACAAATACAGTGCAGTCCAGAAGTACCTTAGACAGTCACCTGAGTGTTACTGGTTTTTCCTTTCAGTTTGAACCGCAGAATGTTATGAGGAATGGAGTTGGCCTTCTTAATTAAAAAAAAAAATGATAACAATAGTCTTATATGATTGTGAAGACAGGTACACCTTACCCACACATAGTTCTTCCCACACAAGTTCCTCTTATATATTAGAGTTGGTCGTTTAAAGAAGAGAAAGGGAGGTAATGAAAAGATTAAACCTTTCAGTCATTATCTAGTGTTATTTCCCCTTCCTGAATAGAAGCTATTAAAAGACAGCACTAAATTTGTGTTGGTTTATTCCCAGATGCTTTTAGTCATATATAATTGTTTGTTGAAACATTATTCAGTATTCTAGTTTAGAAAAGAGAGAGGGGAGGAGGAAAGGGGACGGGGGTGGACTCAGTGTTTAGTGAGTCAACTCACTAACATGGTCTTCTATTTCATCAATAAAAAAAAAATACTAGATATTCATATTATACATAGTGTTATATGAGCATTTGGAAGGCAAGGGCTGATTCGTGTAGGGCCTATGTTCAGTTTGTGACTCTTTTAAAATATAGATTGTTCTTTATTCAACTTGAAAAGAAATATTGACTTGCACCCATTTAGACCAAAGCCGCTATGATTTTGTCTGTCTGATGACACATAAATTGGTGGAACATTTTTTTGGTAGCTTGCTAGGCTTCTCTTTTATCTGCATACTTGTTGCCAGATTGTAGAGACGCTGCCTGTTTCAATGGCTAGCACTTGCAAGTAGAGTTTTTGGTCGCTGGTCGTGATGCAGATATTCTAGCATTGCGATGGAAAAGCCTGACTCTGCTGGGTATAAACCCTTTTCAGAGCTATGTTAGTTAACCCTAATGTCAAATCAATACTGTTGAATGAAGCGGAAAGATGGAGAACAACTAATGCAATTACTAATAAACTACAATTCATTAACTGGTTCCTGCTAGAGTAGAGGAAATTAAATATGATAGAATCACTAATGTAGAGCTTTGGGAGAGAACATAACAAGTTTCACTGGACCGAAAGATGAGGAAAGCCGCTGTGTTGGATAGGACACACGTTGCAAAAACCTGAGAACAATATAACTAGAAAGTCTTTGCACTGGAACCCACAGTGGCATAGAAATAAATGTTGGCCCCCCAAAAAATGGAGAAGGGGGCCAGAGATTAAAGGTAAAACAAAATGGAGAAGGGAGCTAGAGATTAAAGGTAAAACAAAAGAAGGGAGCTAGAGATTAAAGGTAAAAAAAAAATGGTGAGAGCTGCATGTGATAATGAAGTAAAGAATGACTTGGCTTAGGTTAGTTGAGGGCCTATGCTCCCTTGGGGGTTAGAAGGCAGAAGAAGAATTAGTTAACTCATCCTGATTGTTATCTGAATGATGTCACTAAGTGTTAATCGCTCATTGTGCTGATCTAGTGGGGTTAAAGGTCACTCACTCAGGGCTCAGATGGCCTGAATGTCAGGGAATTAGGTAAATGTGGTTTCAGAGTTGTTGTTGGTATTAAGTGTGGATCCTTCAAGGATGGCCATAGTTTGTCCACCTCTGATCTATGGAGATGCCTGGTAGGTTATGATGCCGGTTCTGTAATCAGTAGTCAGTAATGGGATGTGAAGTGATTTTTATCTTTGCCTGTGTCGGGCCACATTATTCCGGGTGGAAGTAGCCTTTTCTCTTTCTTACGACATTCCCTACCCAGACAGTATCCTGAAAATTGTCTGATACCAACTTGTATAGTCTGGATTGATCTCGGAGGAAAAACTAATTCTTCCTCTGCGGAGGATTGAAACCAAACAGCTGTACTTGCAGTCTCACCAGTATATTAGATTAAACACCTTGAAAGGAGTCTCGACCAGCCAACCAAGCAGCTTTGTTTAAGTAAGTAAGATTTGCCTGTGTGCATGAACTGTAATAGAGATTTGTTAATCAGTGTTTTCTTTTTCCCCCTTTTGTGTGGTGTAGGGAATCCTAGGCAGTGTTCAGAGTGGCAAATCAGCCTTGGTACACAGATATCTGACTGGTTCCTACATGCAGGAGGAGTCACCTGAAGGTAACATGTTTTGTTGTTTTCCTCTCTTTTTAAGTCTCACATTTTGAGAATGTATTTAGTATGGCATGTATATATTAGGAAGGGCAGTTATGGGATGTAATAGTACAGTTAAGTGATTACCCTATGAGGTTAGGGGAAACCTTATTTTAAATAATAGGTAGAAGGCGGGTCTTAGAAGAAAGATGGTCAATAGATGACCATTGGTGGAAAACCTCTGATAGAAGATAGACCATGACTGTAAAAAGACAGTCTCGGGTTCAAGGCTGGGATTTTTTTCACCTGGACTTCTAGTAATTTCCCCTGATCTCTGGGTAGTAAGATCGGACGCTCATATGTATTGTTGCACACGTAAAACATTTCTTGGCAGTTGGAAATCAAAAAGAGTAGCCTAACGGCGCTGCCTGGGCACAAATTTGAAGTTTAAAAAAATCTGCCTAAAGTATTTCATGATCCTCACCGGTGTAACCAAGTTCGTGCACAGTCCTGAGAGGATTCACACTCCGACTTGAGTTAGAAGTAGAACAGAGCGCTTTTTGGTTACACCGTGTGCCATTATGTTGATCCGTTGGATCAACATAAACAGAGACAGGTTGATAATGGGGCTGAAAGAAACCAACAATGTGCGAATGATGCGAGAAAGTGAGCAGTATTCATGAAATAGATGAACTGAAGAGAGATATATGCCAGGCAAGAACGGTTTGAGGGGAATCTCTGTGTGGCGCCTGATTGGTGAATGTCTGAGTATAACTGAATTCAAGCGAGTCATTGTGGTAATTAAAATGACTAAGCTTGGCAGATTGAACCTGGCCATGTATAAGTGGGCTTTACTGTGAGCAACTGCGATGGTAAAGCTGGGTTGATTTTTGGTTGTGTGTACTTTAGGACAATTTAATTTATAAGTAGTGCAGTGTAGTTGGTTGCCATGTTGAGGCATGAACACCTAAATGTCAGCCCTAGATGACTTTTATTTATTGCTGACCCACAAACGGTGCATTGCCTGGAGCGGCAAATAAACCAGATAGGTAGAAGGAGTGCATTTGTTGAATCTACGATTGTCCGTCATAGAGTCCTGTTGTTTTTTGTCAGCTACGTCATAGCTAGAGTGGTGAAGCTTAGCCAGCTTCAGGAGCAGTATCACAAATAGTGGGTGCTTATATGGGATCTGCTGATGTGCTTGGCATTGCGTGTATCAAGAAAGACAATTATATTGACAAGGACAGATATCTTTTAAGGAGGAAAAGTAGTACAAATATTTAACAGAGAGGACAAATATGTAACAGAGAGGACAAATATGTAACAGAGAGGACAAATATGTAACAGAGAGGACAAATATGTAACAGAGAGGACAAATATGAAACAGAGAGGACACATATGTAACAGAGAGGACAAATATGTAACAGAGAGGACAAATATTTAAAAAGTAAGACAAGCATAGTTCAGTAAGGAAAATTATTTGTCGTGACGGACAAGGCTATCAAAGAGTTCATATATGCAACAAGAAAATATGAATCACAGAGGATATATATTTATCAAGGAAGGCAATTATGAATTAATAAGAAAGTATGTTTCCAATAGGACAAATTGTGTCAGTGCAAATATTTATTAAACAGTGCAAACACGTTTTAATGAGGGCATGTGGGCAACAGTGAGGACATATGTGTTTCAGGGAGGTGTATGGATCAAGGAAATAAAGTATATCTCAAGATTGGTAAATGTATATTAGAATGTCATGACACAGGTGTAGATGAAATAAAATATGTCTGGGCAGCTCGGCATGAAATAACCTAGTCTTTTTCAATGAAACCCCCTCCCCCCTTTCCTCCAATACAGCTGAAAATAGGAATGCTCAGATGTAAACAGAGATATTTGATTTTCTTATTTGTGTCTTTCATTGTTAAGGAGCCCTTTGTTGCCATTGGCACATCAACAAGCATATGATATTAAGCCCATATTTTTGTTAGACCAGTGGGTACTTAAAGGATGATATCGTGCCACCAACCTTCATTTGTCAAGCTTCCTATTTTTTTTAATGTTCATCCATTTTTTGGGGTCTTTGTTCAGAAATTTTAGCCTTAAAAAACATTTTAAAAAAAAAAATAGGAACGAGTGTAATGATAATGTAGTTGTTCTTGTGTTCATACAATGCTGTGATGTTTGTTCCAGGTGGAAGATTCAAAAAGGAAGTCATCATTGATGGCCAGAGTTACCTTTTGTTAATCAGAGATGAGGGCGGTACTCCTGAAATGCAGGTGAGTCTTTTGGTTTTGTTTGCGTTAGTGTAAACCACATGATTCTTTTGTTAGAACTCTTGTAAATCATCAACTGTTTTGTGTTCATTGAATTGAATTAGGGCTGTACCGAATATTCGCTTCAGGGCCGAATAGTGGACCTGTTGACTATTTGGTATTCGGCCGAATAGTTGCGATCTGGCCGAATACGAATAGTAGTTACCTTACACCCGCTTCTGCATACACAGCCTTAAAACTGACAACATGGGACGATTGGTTTTGTTGAAAGCTAATGCAGCTTTCATGCATTAACTAAGCTGTCAGTGACAATTTCCAAGTTTAGTTACTTGTTATAATACTTAGATTTCTTTCATTCCTAGTTATTAGTTATCACAGACTGACTGAAGGATGCAAAAAATTTAAATTTTTAAAATGATTACTTTTCTACACGAATACTAACTAGACATGGAAAGAATATAAACTCTGGCGACATCCAAGTCGACAATATGAAAAACAAACGGACGGAAACATTTAAGTACTTGGGTGCAAACTTCAACTGCTCGAACATGCTGAGAGAAGAAATGCAATCTAGAATACAATATAAAAATAAAGTATACAATGCCCTTCAACATCTGCTAAAGTTAAAGTGTTTGTCTCGCAACACCAAGATCAAAATATATAAATCGTTGATAAGACCAGTCGTTTTATATGGCCCTGAAACTTGAAGCAGAAATAAAAGAGATGAGGCCTTATTACAGGTTTTCGAAAACAGTCTTAGGATAAATCTTTGGACTCATCAAAGATTCTAACAGCGGGGAATGGAGAGTGAGAAGCAACAACGTAACACATAATCTGTTTAAATCGCCATTGATCACTGGCATCATGAGAGCTAACAGACTAAAATAGTTTGGGCATAATGAAAGAATGTCAGATGACAGAGAAGTAAAAACTGTATACACCTGAGAGAGGAATGGGCGTAGACCACGATGCAGACAAATTGGAGACAAAATATCCAGCCAGACCTGCAAACAACTGGTGTCACAAATTGTAAACCTAAGGCCAGCCAGAGAGATGAATGGAGATGAGGGATATCTGCAGTAGTAAACCTCAAGGGCTTATAATGCTAAAGAAGAAGATGAGTATTCTGTGCTACTTTATGTGAAGTAAAAGTTCAACGTACATTTGACAGTATGAATGTTTTTTTTAAAAATATTTTATACACTATTCGTATTCAGCCGAATAGTTGGTCCCACTATTTGTATTCGGCCGAAAAGTGAAAATCACTATTCGGCACAGCCCTAAATTGAATTAAATAGACCAAATGTATAATCTGCTGCTACTAGCCCCAAAATTATTCTCAGATAATGAATTTGATTGGGCCGGACTTACTCTGTGGATCACATTCTTTCCTTGAAATGCATAGGCCTAAGGGGCTCCGCCAGAGAAATTGCTTCTAAAAAGGTGTGATAATCAGAAATAGTTGGGAACCACAGTGTTCAAAGTAGAAGTACACTGGTACCTTGGGTCACGAACACCTCTAGTCACAGACAAATTGGCTGACAAAAAACAAATAAATTGACCTGCGAACAATTAATCAGCGTGTGAACACACAAAAAAGCCTTTGGCCTCATGTTTTTGACTTGAAAGCAGCATCATTTGTTGTTGTTGTTGATGTGATTTTTTGTGGGTTGCTTTCTTTTGCATAAAATTAACTCATTATGGCTCTCGTGAAAAGTGTTGGTGACAGTGGTGTAAAGAAGCCTCAGCATATTACAGGAGAAACAAAGAAGGAAATAATAACTAAACATGAGAATGGTTTTCTAATCTCGGCAGGCAGGACACCCTAAATGGTTTTCTAATCTCGGCAGGCAGGACACCCTAAATGGTTTTCTAATCTCGGCAGGCAGGACACCCTAGCTAAACCTATGATCAGTACTATATTTTAATAACAAAGATGACGGCTGATATATCTAAAGGGGTGACTAAGTAAGTAAGTCTCAAGTGTTAGAAGAAGTAGAAAAATTATTATGCTTATGGATTAATGAAAATTAATTTGCTGGAGATAGTGTTATAGAGGCCCATATATAAGAGAAGGCTGTACTTTTGCTATTGGATCCTTCTCCTCCATGATCTACTTGTGCCAGCATGTATCAGCAGCAAATATTTTTCGGTTCACAAGCATTCAGTTTGCGAATGGAGTCAAAGATTGAATTAATTTCATTACCCAAGGTGCGATTCTATTGTAACTGTTCAGAGATAATCTCAGTGAGTGTTCCTGCTTTGGTTTCAGTTCACACACTGGGTGGATGCAGTCATCTTTGTGTTCAGTCTAGAGAATGAGATGTCTTTTCAAGCAGTCCACAGTCACTATGCTAAGATGAGGCAGTACAGAGACACCAAGGAGATTCCTCTCATCCTTGTGGGAACTCAAGGTAGGAGCTTTCTCTGTGTTGTTGGTCCCTGGGGATTCTTCTTCTTTTTCCTCTTTCAAGACACTCAGAAGAAAAGGCAAGATGGACGTAAAACCAGATTGTGACCGGTACCATGAGTATTGGAACTCTGTGCTGGCTGCTGAAGATGAGGGCGGAGCGCACATGGGAATGCCCCGAGTACTGTGATGTCAATTTTTGACTCAACTCAATTCCTCTTTTAAGGGGAAATGTTAGCACAACTTGTTATGCACCTCACGGTCAGCATATCTTGTTAAAACTAGGGGTCAGTTTGTATGGGCGTGTAGATTGTATTAGGTGGGTATAGGCCTATTTCTAAATTTTGAGCTAAAATCTTGAGGTCAACGTATACATGGTAGTTTACAAGAAGGTCTAATACTTTTGTCAGGAACTAGTTTTTCGGCATACATTTAACATTGGTGCCTTACTTGTGAGTACCTATGTTTCATATTCCTGTTTTCAGTGGTCCTCTTGCAAATTAGTATTACTGTAGCTTTTTTTAAAAATCAATTTTGAGTGACTTTCCCTTTCACCATGTTTTTTGCCAATTTATTGAAGCCATTAAACACCTAATCTGCAAGCTGTTATTGTATTTGCTATGATACCGCCTTTATTGTATTTGCTGTGATACTGCCTTTATTGCTTCTGCTATGATACCGCTTACTTCTGATTACTTGTTTCTAGGGCTGTTCTTTAGAGCTCTATCTGTTGCTTCAGTTAAAATAATTAGATCCAGTTGTTAGTTATTTCTGGGAACAAGTTGAAGATTTAGTAGTGCTGTCACTTGGCTCATTAATCTTATCTGTTTTTTGTGTGTGGCAAATTTTCACCTCTCCCACATTTTATCTTTTGTGGCATTGTGTGAGTGCATTATTGGGCCTTATCAGACAAGAACTAATCATTCAGATAACCTGTGTATAAGCTGCATACATTATAAAGACCCCCTCAGGAGTTAGAGATTGGCCGGTCAGGCCACAACAGTGCCAGATTAAAAAAACTACAGAGTAAAAGTATATTTTTAGCATGTCTAATTTCTCTGTTCACTCATTTGAATCTTCTTGTGTACACTCATTTGAATCTTCACTGTTGTCTTGATGCTGTCTTTCTATTTCTGCCTGGTCCTCCCCTTGCTCTGTATCTGTTATATTTCTTCAACCTGGCTTTCTCTGGTACCAGGGCATTCTCGTCAGATGACTAAACCATCCCATTTTTTGCGCTTTTATAAACTGTTTGATTTTTCTGTTACACAGTGATTAACTAGTCAGTGTCTTTCTAAATATGTGCAGTTATTTGTGTGCCTTAGCTTACTGTTCAAGTTGAACCACTCTATAATTCTATTGTTGCCCTCTCAGACCCAGCCGGCCATAATTGTAACCCATGTGGATCCCATTAGTTGTAGTATTAACCACTTGTGTCCAGCAGGTGTTTATGTTTACCCACTTAAACCCAGCTAATGTAATGTTTACCCACTTAGTCCCAGCTAGTGTAATGTTTACCCACTTAGACCCAGCTAGTATAATGTTTACACACTTGAACCTAGCTAGTGTAATGTTTACCCACTTAACCCAGCTAGTGTAATGTTTACACACTTAGACCAGGCTAGTATAATGTTTACACAATTGAACCCAGCCAGTGTAATGTTTACACACTTAGACCCAGCTAGTGTAATGTTTACACACTTGGACCCAGCTAGAATAATGTTTACCCACTTGGTCATAGCTAGTGTTATGTTTACCCACTTGGTCCCAGCTTGTGTAATGTCAGCACTGTAAACATTGGTAAAATTGCATAATTTGTTATAATAATACCATTTGTCACTGGAAAACTCTTAACTATTAACTATAGTAACTCAGGGTCCTTCTAAACCTGTACAAGGACACAGGCAGTGACAGCAATATTGGCTAGGCATCTATACAAGAAAGTAAAGCAAAGATCCCTTTAGGCGCATCAGGCACATGGGAAAAGCGCCCATATTTGTACAGACCAATCAGCATTAGGTGGATAATGTGGTCAACATTACGCCGGCCTTCTTTACTTCCCCAGGACATACATCCTGGTACCATTTTAGGCTGGACTGTCCTGCGATGCCCCATACCATGATAAAAATCCACACAGCCAGCTGTGGGTTTCGATGGCGGCACATTGGAATTACGAGTCGTATTCGCAATGCCTAAGCCACGGGCGCTGCATAGGCACCTATAGCCAACCACTATATCCACGTCTGTAAAGTCAAGTGGCTCTGTGGGAACTGGACCTAACCCAAAGTGTTAGTTTTGGGGCGACAATGTTAAATCCTTCAAGTTGCTGAACAGTTTTACTGTGCTTGTGTTCATTATTCTTGGTAAATAACTTGTGCATGTGCAGAATTATATTTTTCCTGAGAGAGTCACAAATATAGAGCTTAGGAGAAAGCTAAACTAATTCGAGGAGTGAGGAACCGATACTGGTATTGGATAAGGCACACGTTAGGAAAACCAGTTACTGCATTGGAGCCCATTTAGTCAAAGAGATATCATAGTCCTCACAAAGTGTAAATTACAGTGGCAATGGAAAACAAGATGTGCCGGTACTCACCACAAAGTGCATATTATAGTAGCACTGGAAAAAAAGATGTGCGGGTACTCACCACAAAGTGTATATTATAGTAGCACTGGAAAACAAATGTGCCGGTACTCACCACAAGGTGTATATTACAGTAGCACTGGAAAACAAGATGTGCCGGTACTCACTACAAAGTGTATATTACAGTAGCACTGGAAAACAAGATGTGCCGGTACTCACCACAAGGTGTATATTATAGTAGCACTGGAAAACAAGATGTGCCGGTACTCACCACAAGGTTTATATTATAGTAGCACTGGAAAACAAAATGTACCGGTACTCACCACAAGGTGTAAATTATAGTAGCACTGGAAAACAAAATGTACCGGTACTCACCACAAAGTGTAAATTATAGTAGCACTGGAAAACAAAATGTACCGGTACTCACCACAAAGTGTATATTATAGTAGCACTGGAAAACAAAATGTACCGGTACTCACCACAAAGTGTATATTATAGTAGCACTGGAAAACAAGATGTACCGGTACTCACCACAAAGTGTAAATTATAGTAGCACTGGAAAACAAGATGTGCCGGTACTCACCACAAGGTGTATATTACAGTAGCACTGGAAAACAAAATGTACCGGTACTCACCACAAAGTGTATATTATAGTAGCACTGGAAAACAAGATGTACCGGTACTCACCACAAAGTGTAAATTATAGTAGCACTGGAAAACAAGATGTGCCGGTACTCACCACAAGGTGTATATTACAGTAGCACTGGAAAACAAAATGTACCGGTACTCACCACAAAGTGTATATTACAGTAGCACTGAAAGACAAGCCTGATGGCTAGAAAAAAGTGCCAGTACTCACCACAAAGTGTATATTACAGTAGCACTGAAAGACAAGCCTAATGGCTAGAAAAAAGTGCCAGTACTCACCACAAAGTGTATATTACAGTAGCACTGAAAGACAAGCCTGATGGCTAGAAAAAAGTGCCAGTACTCACCACAAAGTGTATATTACAGTAGCACTGAAAGACAAGCCTGATGGCTAGAAAAAAGGGCCAGTACTCACCACAAAGTGTATATTACAGTAGCACTGAAAGACAAGCCTGATGGCTAGAAAAAAGTGCCAGTACTCACCACAAAGTGTATATTACAGTAGCACTGAAAGACAAGCCTGATGGCTAGAAAAATGTACCAGTACTCACCACAAAGTGTATATTACAGTAGCACTGAAAGACAAGCCTGATGGCTAGAAAAAAGTGCCAGTACTCACCACAAAGTGTATATTACAGTAGCACTGAAAGACAAGCCTGATGGCTAGAAAAATGTACCGGTACTCACCACAAAGTGTATATTACAGTAGCACTGAAAGACAAGCCTGATGGCTAGAAAAAAGTGCCAGTACTCAACACAAAGTGTTTATTGCAGTAGAGCTGAAATATTGAAAAAAAAAAAAAAAACTGCCTAAAAAAGGATACCGGACTATGAAAAAAAATTCCCTGTTTGTAAGAATGATAAACGTTCATGGTTTGTCGTTGGATTATAAGGTGAGGTGTCCAGTGTCTTGCATCCCCAACTTTCAGTTTTTCTCTCTCTAAATCCAAAGCAAAAGCGGTTGTCTATTCAAAATCAAGGAGAAAAAGTTAAGGTGACCTAGATTGTTGAAAAATCATCAAATGTAAACAAGAGATAGAAAAAAGGTGTGCCAGTTTGGCATTAGATGTTTCAGGCGAGTTTGTGTTTCGCCATCATTGTGTTCTGTGCTTTTTATGTTAGCAGTCAAATTTGATGATCTAGCACACTGGTCTGAATCATGTCTGTTCTGTTCGTGTTGTCCTGATTATGCCATGGGATTAAGTCCTCCAGGTCTAGCTCATGGGGAGCTAACAAGGCAGCAGTAGTTGTATCGACTCCAGGCGGCGCCACAGTGTTGAACCTGTTACATGACTCATGAAAGTCAGGATCTCTAGCAGAGGAGTTAAATCACACGATAGCCACAAGATTGTATTTATCAACACTCCAGGCATGGCTGTGTAGACAGGTGCGATAACTCTGTGATTGCTCCATTATGCATGTTGGGCCAGCAGCGAGTTATCTCTCTGCGCTGTAAGTTGGAGAAAGGAATGATTGAAAAACACTGCTAGCTTTCCTCGTGTGGGTTCTGGGGCCCTGTTTGGGGGAGGGATCCCCCCTCCCCCTTAAAAAAAACATCACTCGTCAGAATCTGAGAAAAGAATATAAAATTTATGAGGTCTACATGTAAAAGAGAAGTGTTGGAATAGAGGAATTTCATGGGAAAAGTGCTAGCAAAGAGTTGCAGAAATGACAGAAACAGATGTATGTGGAAAGTTTCAACATTTGAACAACACATAATAACATACACAACACTGGTCTTATTAAACATGTGACAGAACGTTATAAAGTTT